CTAACGTTCCTTTTTTTCCAACAGACGCTTCCCACTTTAGGAGGTTTACTCCCTGAGGTGCGTAACGGGGAGGCATCCATGTACGCACGAGTACTGATGGATCTGATAATGCGCATTCTTCTTGCTATAAAGTGCATTTTGGGGCTGAGCTAACTATCTGGACATGGTGTTCTGTGTTGCCACTGGAAAGGTCCTATCTCATTTATCAATTTTTTTTTTTTTTCTTATTTGGATGAATAAAGGATAGGTCAAATTGAGAGGAGGTTTTTATTTGACAGTGATCTTACTAGAGTGGTACTGAATGGTGGGAGCTTCATCCTATCAGTTAATGGACAATGACTTCAGAGTGGGAGTTCAAGAGAAGAAAAGAGGGCACGAGAGATGCAAAAATGTGTGGAAAAGATTCTTACTATGATAAATGCCTCTTTGAGGGATATATGCTCTGGCATATACCAATCAAAAGCTTGATTCTTAGAGCCATCAAAATGTACAATAGCTTTTAAAAATGCTGTATTCGGTCAACTTCATGCATGTCCACYAGAAAAAAAATAATAATTTATAGAGACATTAATCATTTGATATGCTTTTATAACTAAAGATATTAATATGGGACAATTATAGTATAAGCATTTCTTACCTTGAAAAATACGTTTGTGTTTTGCTTATTTTGAGTGCATGTCACATTCTAACATTAAGTTAGAAATTGTATGCTATTATCCAAAGATGATTTTATTAAATTGTTATTATTTCATAAGGAAATTACGTTATYTATTTCATGATAGTCTTGAATATTTCAAGAATTCCATAATTCCTGAAATTTATTCAAATAATCATTTGCAACTGGATTAGAAAGCCAGCTTTCTCTTTCATATAAAATACAAAATATCTGTACAAAAATATTTGCAAGTAATTGTTATTTAAAATCTTTCATGATGATTGTTTCTTTTTGTGTGGCTTTATATAGAAATATTTATATAGAAATATTCATTACAGAGTTAGGATGCAGGTTATTATATTATTTCATATAAACCATAACTTAGATCCTTGTAGTGTGACATATATGCAGGTTCCATAACTTCAGAAAATCTAGAATCTCTTATGATTTTCACCAGTGTTTCGAAACATTACTTTTTATACATGCAGTGACTTATAATAGTATAGAAGATAGATAATAGGAAGTACTTCATTTGTACTTTTTTAAAAAATCGTTATTGAAAGAAATAGGCCCAGTATCCACATAAGATTTTGTACAATTTTCCAGACAATTTTGTATCATAAATATGCTTTTTGCATATACTGTGTTATGTCCATGACTTGATTTTATTGGCCTGTATATTGCCTGAGTCACTGCATAGGAGTAGCTATATTGGTTTGCAAGGCAAGTGACTTTCTTGCTAATGGGACTCGGTAATATAAATTAGGAAAACAATGTTTGTGAAAGGTGATGCAGCAGTCCTACGACCAACAGGATATTTGCTGCTCTTTCTCATGCTGGAATGAATTGAAAAAGCAGCAAAACTTTGCTTGAGGTAGTTGTTGTTGGGTTTATTTTGTGAATGATTGATAACAGAAGGTTTGAGCTTTAGGGTACACATCTTTTATGTAAAGATAGTTCTCAGCAATGTATAAATTGCTCTAAGTAATAGCATGAAATATGAAAGGAGTTATTTGGTGCCATACATTATAAGTAGGCCTTTCTTTAACAGTGTTTTGTTTTGTTGTTCTTTTTCAAAAAAACTTTTTCAACATGCATTCCCTATGTACTCAGTCTTTTCCTGCCTATTATCTTCCTTGAACTATCAGAAATATGCTTCTTAACATTTTTATAGCATGTAAAGTTCTCTCTTCATCTTTGATTTTTGTTATGTGTCTGTTTTTGCATGCGCTATGTGTCTGCATTAATCACAACTGGTTTAATTTTTGAGTATATTGCAATATTCATTGGCCAGATTTGTCCATATGAAATCATGTAACACAAATTTCTGTCTAACATGATGTGGTTACTCTATATATCATGTAGTGRCTTTTGAGCAATTCAAATTAACAGTAGTTATTTGCAAAACCGTTTAAAACTCCAAAGCTGCTTGTTATGTGAAACCTTCCTTCATATTGAAGTTATCTTACTCTCCATTCCTGGCACTAAGCAGTGCCATGGTGCATTAATGTTCATGTGAGATTGCAAATCTTTTTCTGCTTGGATTCTTTGTCCTGCCTCCAGTTGTAAAAATCACTGAATAAATAAGTGTGGATTCTTGTTAAATGCAGAAAAATGGGCGTTATATATCTCTCTGAAGGTTAGGATGAACTAGTTTATTCTACAGAGCCTTTTCATCTTCTTTTTAACTAAAAGATACTAAAGAYAACTTTCTATTTAAAGCGATATGTAGTCTAGACTCTTAGACTGTCTCTTGAAATGGTCTGCTTATTCAAAGCATTCAAAAGCTTGGTCAACTAATCTCTTAGGAAACTCATTGTGAATGGGAAATAACGTAGACTCCCCTGCTATTCCATGGAGTGTATTTGTCAGCCCTTTTATAGGAAATGTAACTGGATTTCCACAGTTCTCCACCTGGCTACTCACAGCATCCTGGGATGACTCAGAACATTATTTACTCTGTTCTAGATTGAAGCTATGTCAGTACTGAAATTTGAGGAAACCAAGGGTAGTATAAAAATAGTGATTGTGCACAACTGTATTAAATGGAACAGTAATACTAGGAGGGCACTGCATTATGTTAGGAGTTATGCTATTCATTCTAGAGAGTCTATGTCAACATTTCTTACCAGTTTAAACTGCTCTAGGAAGAGCGGCATGGATTAATTGCTAGTGAAATCCCCTAGGCTTTATTCGAGGTACCACAGAGATGTGTTTAGCCTGGTTCGCAAGGCAAATGAGAACGTTTAATGAACTGCTTACTGAGTGCAGTTGCAGGGGGTGTATGTCCTTCATGCTCTTTGCTGCTGCTGCAGCTTTGTGCCAGCCCATTCCCTTGACTAGTTTAAAGCCTCTTGTTCTTGTGAAGTGAGGAAAGTGACTGGAGTGCAATTGGGTTTGGGGACACTGATTCCATGTGATAAACATCTGCTGTCTTATTTTATGGTGCATTTTTGGGGCATGCTGAAAGGACATGCTGGGTGCAGTTTATAAATAGAAAAGAAAATGAGATGTGAAGAACAAGGACTTTTTTTTTTAACTTTCGCAGTTCTTAGGAATGACCTTGCAACAGTTGAAAATATGATTGCAAGAGCATACTTTTCTTGAAGAGTTTTCCTTTTTYTAATAACTGTCTACCTGTGCTATGTATTGTTACTATTAAAAGTTGCCAGCTTCTTGGATTTTGATATAAACTTACAACTTCCCCTGGACTGAATATAATCTTTCTGATACAAAATATGCATTATATAAAAAGATGATTTAAATATATACCTTTTAAAGGTAAACAGTCAATTAATTATGGTACATTTAGAATAGGTATATTTTGCCAAAAGTACCAAAGTATGTTAGAGTAGCCAACCTTTGTCAACATTTAGCACTAGATTTTGATAAATTATTGTATTGGATCTTATAAATGTASTTATTAAACATTTAAAGATTTTGTATGATTGGCTTTCAAGTTGCAGAATGCCAACCTGCAGTGCCAGGTTTTCTTCATATCATTATTTTAGTTGGTGTTGTGACTGCACACTTTCCATCTATCTGTTGCCTAGTTGATGTCTAGGCACAAAGGCAGATGTTACATGAAGTTGACAGACATTGTGTGGTAACTTGGCTAAGATCTCATTTTCATTAAAGCAGAATCTGTCATTCTTCACTAGAAAAATCAAATTTTGTACAGACACATTGTANTTTTTTTTTTTTTTTTTTTTTTTTTTTTTTTTTCTGTTCTATTTCCAAAGGAAAGACAGGCAACAGTGAAAAAAGAGAAGAGTTGTCCCCAGCAAATGAACAAACTGGGAGAACGGAACAAAATGCAAAGAGCAAATTCAGTCACCGTAGATGGACAAGGTCTTCAGGTGTGATTATTGTTGTTATTTTAATTTTAAGAAGATAATTGTAGGTATGAAGACAACAATAGGGTGAGCAATCTTAAAAGGAAAATATTTCCTATATAGACTTCACTCTTACAATTAGAAAATATGGCAATAAGGTAACTTTTTCCATTTCCATAGGATTTCCATTTACAGGAGTCCTCAGTTTCTAATATAGTTGATGGGACTTCCTAAGACATTAAGGTGAAAGGGTTAGTGACTCTGTAACACTTAGATTGCAAGCTGAAGATGAAACCGATTATTTTACTTTTTGAATCAATTTTATATCAATTTTTTGAATTGCTGCAACTGTCATGCAGTGTTGTTTGAAATTACTTGATAAAACTGAACCCATGACTAGATCATTGTTAGACTTTTAAACTATCAGATGGGTGTATTAAACTTCAAAGTTATTACTCCCGACATTTCCAAAGAAGGTATTTGGAACACTTAAGGGTGGAGATAAGTAAGGAAGTTACAATAGTAGTTTTATCTATTAAAACAGAGATTTTTCTACTTTGAAAGAAACCTGATAGTATGTACCTATGTGTGAAATTTATGGGCAAATGTTGTCGTAGGGAGGTTAAAGAATGTCTGAAGGTCTGTCTGAACTGCTATGCTKCTTTTCCTTGAGAATGGGGGTAGTTTTGAGTAGTGCAAATTTTCATGTATGTGATACTTTTGGTTTTCCTCAGGAGTAAATGATCATCATGAGAACAATGTGATAATCATTTAATTTACATTGTTGACTGCTCTCTGTATCTTTTGATGTGCTGGAATTGAGATTCAGTACAATGACAAAGATCCCATTAACATAGATCAAATACTGAACACCTCATATTTCACGATTACTTTGTTGTGTCAAGATAGAGAGGCTTATTTGTATTGTGTTTTGATCCTTTTTGATTCACAAAATATTCCTATTATGACAACTCAAATGGAAAAAAAAATCTGCAGTCACATGACAGCTCCATTAATGTCCTGTCATGATATTATAGTGATCATTTTCCAAGGCTCTCAAGGCTGTCTTCCTGAGATTGCTGTCTGCTCAGATTGCAGTAGTAATCAGATCACCTGTGAAAGGTGAAGCATGAAGCAAAGAGGGTATTTATTGACTGAATGCTTTAGTTATGTCTAATCACAGTGTGAGAAGCTCTAATAAATGGATGCTACTGGAAGCATATGGAGAATTCTGTAGACCCAAGAATGTATCTGTGCTATTCCAGTGAGAAGTACCTCAGATACTTCTGGTATCATCTGCTTTAAGTAGTAGTACCATTTTTTATTTTACCTCCAGGATTGGTTTGCTTACGTTTGAGTAATTTTGCAGTATATTTCCATAATATTGCAGTATATTTTCAGGATGAACTGGAATAAAAATTTCTGTAGCTGATCAAATTGTGATATTGTAGTTCTGTCATAGCTGGCCAAAGTACACAAGTAGTCAAACTGGCCAGTACTCAAGTATTATTTGAAGTGTACATTAAACACCAATATATTGTTCATGTCTTCTCATTTGAACATGATATGCAGTGATTTTAGACAGCAGAAAAGAGTTTTTGTGGTTTTTTTGAAACGTTGKTTTAATCAGAAAATATTATCTGTTTAATCAGATTGTTAATTTCATTTATTTATGACTTAAGATCCCAAGACACTGTTTTAGAAATACATGGGAAATCCTCACATAAGTCCTGTGAGACATCTGCTTTAAATATGGATGAAGCTGTATATAATTGGTTTCCTCTTAAAGAAAAAAAATAAACAAAAAAGGAAAGAAAAGAAACATTTTTTGTAGGTTTTATCACAAAAAAATTAAATTATCTTCTAATAGCTTCATGAAGATACGTTACATTGTTAGATTAACACCTGATTGGCCTAAGATTCATTAACTTAGTCTAAATATTAGTTTGTATTGTAAATTATATATGGAAATGTTACATTATTTAGAAAACTAATTTAGAAAAGCTGTAAGAAATTAATTGGGAGAGATCTTATTTTGGCATAAAGTAAAATACAAACTGATTTCTAGATTTTTTTTTTTTTTGATGATCCTAGACCACCTACTTGTAATGATAGGGTTAAGTTTTGAAATAAAAGATTGTTAAAAAAATAAAATAAGTTTGTCAGATATAATTTTTGCTGAGAAGACTATCAAGGCAAAACCTTCCTTCCATCAGAGTGGTGTGCACATAACTCAGTGGCACTGGAGATCTGCACAACTTATAGAAGACTATTAATCATAGTTAAGCACATTCATCTTACTTCTTTCTAGCTAACCAGCATAATGATCAGGATTATTATTTCTAATTAGAGGAAGTAATAGATCATGTATAACCTTAGGATGAGTCTCATTAATTAACCTGTGTCCTAAGGGATTTCAGTAGGTAGTCCATCTCTGTCACAGTGAGCACCGTTGGTTTACACTTAGTTCMCAGGAACAAACATCTGGTGAATTGGCTAAATAACTAAAATTGATTAAAACAGTAGACAAAAATTAAATATATGACAAACYTCAATATGTCCTGCAATTTGATAGCTTATGTGCTTCACCTATAGTACTCTACCATCAGAATATACTGCACGGAATATGATGCTGTGTTGGTTTTGGCTAGATTTAAATCCACTGCTTTTGCTAAAATTTTCCTTTTTTTTTAAGAATTGGATCAGAATTGGACTTAGTTTTTGTATAATTATTGATGGGAAAAAAAAGGAATTTCGGATATATAAAGGATTGTCAATCTAACTCCCTTAGCTTTATGTTCTTTAAGTTCTGCCTGAAGATATATTTTGTACAATCTTCAGATGAAAAGACTCCACTGTTTCAGGAATTATGAGTAAGGATTTGGAGCAAGAATTTTCAATATATATCCCCTTTGAAACAGAGACAATCTAAATTATTAGTGCATGACTTTGGAGATGTTGACTTTGCACTCTTGATATACTTTTAAATATTTTAGAATGGTGATATATGGCTAAAAGAGTGATACTGCTTTCGTATGACTAATCTATGATTATAAGCAGGTGTTAGAGGTAACTATTCATCTGATGTAAAGTTTTTTATATTATTCATAGTCAGTGGAGCAAAAGCAGTGAAAACTCACATCTTTAGCATTTAAAAATACCTAAGCAATGTGTTAGTTCAACAAGACTGAACATTATTTTAGAATATAATATGTTCCAAACAGAAGAGAATAAAAGGAGATGGAAGGAGGCATTGTCTTCTGTATTTTTCCATCTTTCTCCCTATTCTTTTCCTCAGATTTGTAACTTCCGCATATAATCTCCTATATTTTTTTTCAACTTCCCAGCTGTCCAAGCTATTTAAAGGAGCTAATTATTACTGATTGTTAGGTTTTTAAGACTCCGTGATTTCRTCATTTCAACTATTGCAGGTTTCTACTGTTTAAAAAAAAAAAAAAATCTTGTTTTTTTGGGGATTTTCCTCAAGTTAAAGATTTAATATAGCTATGCTTGATTTTTATAAGCTCTGTAATTTCTCCTGCTTCTCACGACAAAATATGCTTTCTTCATAGCTTTTTGGCATAGGAAGTTACTGTTTTGTCAGAATTAAAGTTATACATTTCTTTCATTGATTTCTTTTTCTCTATTGATGGATATAACCTATATATATATCAGTATTGATTTCAATGGAATTGCATATTAAAATGGCATCACAGCTGTAAGTCAGACAGCTAGCATAAAAAATCATAAATGTCACTTATAATTTGTGGGAAATTAATGAAGTGAGGATTATTGCAACTTGCGGAATTACTTCCAGCTGGTTTATATAGCATAACATAGAGTTTGCATTAAGCTTTTTGTTTTCTGTCTACTATAGGAAAAAAAAATGAAAGCAACACACAGCAATAATGAGTGGCTGTGTTATTCCCTTCTTTCAGATCACTCCAGTTCCAGGCACTCATCCACTTTTAGTTTTTGTCAATCCTAAAAGTGGTGGGAAACAAGGCGAGAGGTAAGAACTATTTCTCTTTTTGATTGTTTATTTGTTTCCTGTATTTGATCTGTGATATGTTTAAAAATTTGAAAAGTTTAGACATGAGTAAAAATCCCAAATGGAGTGCATTTTTTAAAGATATGACTTGGACATTCCCATTACCCTCTTTGGAATCGGTGCACGTTAGCATATGCTTATTAACCTCTGCAACTAAAAACTAGAAACAGTTCCATGCATGTGCTTCATTTCACTTCAGAAACAGTAACTATGCTTACTGCATGATTTTGTACAGTTTACACAAAGGCATGAATTGCTGTATTTCGCACTGTAAAGTTCATGTTGAAACAGTTTTAATATCTCAATTATGCAAAAAGGCTTTTAAACTGTAGACATTATTCCATTTTCTAATATATAACCTTGTGTAGAGTAAYTTACCTTACCTTACTTACCTTAATAATTAAGCTTTCAGTCTTGGAGATACAAGGAGTAGTAGATAGAAAGCATTATAACAATCAAGTTAGAGTATCAAAATCTATTCACATAGACTCTAAAGGTACTGCATTTCAAGTATGTAAGTAGTGATATTAATTTTAGTTCAAAAAGCCTATATGTGTGCTGAAATGTTAGTGCATCAGTGTGAAAATAATAAAACAAAGGCAAGGACCTTCTCCTGTTCTACAAGCTCTTTTTCAAGATTTACTTCAGACTCATAAGTGATAACAATATCACCATTTTTGATCTAAACATATTCTATCATGTAAATACCATGATTTTTAGACTATCTTCAAATACCAGTGCTGTAATTTATTCTTCAAATCTTGAAAAAGGTTACATTTTTTTGACCAATTCCCCTCTGAAGAGGGCATCTGTGGACAGTGAACAACGTGGATACTCCGATGCGCAAAAGGAAGGATCTAGTGTGGTTTTTGAGAGTGTCAACTCTCCCTTCCTCTTCCTTGCTGTCCCCATCAGGTCATTTCTTTTCTTTATTTAAACCAAAAAGGCACACAGTCCTGCAAGGCAGAGGTTAGGGAAATCTCGTAAGTCAAAAACATTTAATCCAAACTATGCTCCAAGTCCTTGGACAGAAGGGGTTATTACTTAGGACTGTGTTCTATAGTCTGCAGGCTGGTATACTTAGTTATCATCCTGTCAATAACAGCTCTTCATTATGTCAAAGGCAAATGATGGATCTAAAAAATTCAGGATAAACAATTTCTCAAGATCATGCCTTGCAATCATGATAATACAATGTCAGCCAACAGTTGAAGCTTATGTGGTAAACATTTGTAGTACAAACACCGTAGTGTGAGGTACACTGAGGAAGGGAAAGTGCTTGCACACAGCTTGCCTTGTTTTGTAATATGCTTATGAAGTCAGCAGGTCAGGAATCCAGTTTGGGAATATGTATGTGAGAGGTATGTTAGAGAGCTGTGCTTACATGGTTAGTGATAACACAGAACCAGTTTAAAGGAAATGCTGTTTCACACTTTTATTTCCCAGCTCAGAATTGGTCCCAGATGTTACTAGCTGAATAGGCTTAATGAGCATGAGGGATGTCATTTAATGATGCATATTCTCTTCTGTTAAATCAAGTTAAAAACCTGATCCCCAACTCAGTCTATTGTTTTCATTCACATATAGCAATCTGGCATCTCTTAATGTTAATACACCTGTTAATGGGGCCAAACAGATCAAAGGAAAGATCTGAATTAAAAAAAAAAATAATGCCTTCAAAAATGTGCCTACGTGTTTTGTTCACTAACAACTTTATCTACAAACCTCATTACACAATAAAGTGGGTAGTATGAGGACAGCAGCAAGCAGCTGAGTATAGTGAAGTATAACCTCGTAGGCTGGCTTTGATGTCACAGAAAATATAATGCTTAACTGCATACTAATTTGTCAGGGCTGCACTCAAATTTTATCTTAGCAGGAACATGTCAAGAACCCTGCTACAAAGCCATGCAGACATATTTCAAGTCAGTCACTAGCAGGGGATGTTTATAACTCATGGTTTCACGTAAAACTAGATTTTAAAAGGGACAAAAAAATGTTATTCCATGTATGGAATATTTTATTAAAAGGGGCTTTTCTGCCTGCCTTTTGGGTGTTGACATTTTGTATTGATTCCAGTAACAAAATAATAAAGACATTAAGATCACATATTACCTGGAAGATTTAATCTAAAGTATGAAATCACTTCCAGGGAACAATAACGATATTTTTTTTAACTTTTCTTGGTTTTCACGTGTCTGACAGATCGTCAGTAACCAGAAAAAAAGGAAACTCCTGGACTTTTGCAGCACTTATATATTGCGAAAAGTAAAATGAAAGACTATTTGAAGACATAAATAGCTTTGTAAAAATGCACAGTGGTGGTGATTCAGGTTAGACTTTCTGCTTATAGTAATTTTGCAATCTAGTCAGGTATTGAGAAACTTAAGAATAGAGGATAGATCAGAAYGAAATCAAAATTTCTGTAGCAGGAGTGGTGGGAGAACCTGCTAATTTTTGTACATGAGAATTTCATTATCTTGGCTCAGTCAGATTAAGGTGATGTTTTAGTGGGAGCTAGTCTTCAGTCTTTACTTAAGATGCTTTAAGATACTTTGCTATATTTCAGGGATCATGATGAATGAAGTTATGATTTCTATTTGACTTTCACTGAGCACAGAAAGGTTATTGCAGATATTGTCAAGAATCCAGTGTTCCCACAGTTCCCCTGTATGAGACTTTATGCCTTGCCATATGGTAAGCCAACCCATTTCAGTGCCCTTAGATTTGGAGAGAGTGCATGCATCTGTCTAACACCAAATTGAGTAAATGGCTTCCCTCAGTAATAATTTTCCCTTTTTCAATTCCTATTTTGCAAGCCTTTTCAAATCTCTCCTATGGAAAGGAAAAGAACAGAGGATCAGTCACTTTAATGTAATGGACGGTTACTTAAAGGATACTTTAATTTTTAAGTGTTGCAGCAGAGGGGTAGTGGAAAATATAAATGCATAGTCAGAAAGAATGCATTCAGAAGATAAAAGTAGTTCAGGTTGGGAGCATCTGTGTTCTCCACAACCATATTTAGGTTATCAATGTTTTAAAATTTGAATTCTATTAAAAAAGAACCATTATGTAAAATGTGTATAGCTCTCTCTTTTTAAAACTAATAGCATAATTTTCAGATATATAACAAAATAAAGTACTGTGAAAATAATTCATTCATGATATCTTCTCAAATGGAGRGATAGGTATCAATTGCCTATCACTTGCAATGCAAATACATTTAAACATTTGTATTTGTTCTTAAAAGATTAGCCACAGTGCAGATATGTTTATAAMAAATATAAAAAGTGTATCATTTAACATGTATTAAGCCATAAGTATCAGATGAATTTTAMCCTTTCATAGACCAAAAATAAACTAATTAAAATGGATTTGGATCATCCATTGGTTTATCCAACCAAATCAAGTGTCTTCCTTAGGCTGCGTTACAATTTAACATGTTCAATAATTGTGCATAAAATAGAAATTTAAACAATTGTATGTTTATTCAGAAAAAAAAAAAATATTTCCATTTCCAATGGAATGTCCTAGAGCTAACATTCCTGCATGTTTGTCTTTAAGATTTAACTTATCAAAATAACAACTGTGAATTATCTGTGAATAAAATGTACAAAATTGCTACATAATTGACAATATAGATTTTTTTTCAGCAGAAAGAATGTGCAACTGCCAAATGGTTACGGCATGTAGTGCTTCTAAAGGCTGTTACTGTGAAGGGTAATGTTTCTCACATAAGAGTAGTACTAAATCACATTGCTGTTTTGCCACACTCATTACTTTTTTTACTTTCCCCTTCCCCATTTTGTAATTTATTTGCCTGACCAGCAGGTGAGCTTAAACAATTGTTTCCTTGGCAAATGTGCGGTTGGATGCACTGGAGATCAGCTTCCGTACTCTGACTATTCCTGCTGACTCCACTTTCAGGTTCTGTGCAGCACAGGGTGGTGATATCTTTGACCTTTGTTGTTTTCAGATAACTTTATTTCAAAGTACCTCTTCCATCCCACCTTATCATAATACTTGATTTCTAAGCTCCTAACATGGAGACAAAATATAGGAGTGATTAATTTTTTTTTTTTTTTAATACCATGTAACCTAGAGAGAGGTATATTAACGTTCTTTTACTTGGGGAGTGAATACTTTACTTGTCACTATTGATAAATTAAGCCTAAACTCTCCTTAGTTTACATTATCCCCAAGATGCTTGAATTAATGCATTCCCCATATTGCAGGCAGCATTGCTGTGTACAGCTTTTCCTCTGGTGATTTCCTGACAGTTTTGGAGTACCAACAGGTTTCTGTCCCTCTATGTCTCCTAACTTTCTAAAGCAGGATCTTATGACTTTGAAAGATTGCTTGGTCTAGCTCACGCCAAGCAATCACCTGCAGTCAGGAGACCTGCAAAAGATCCCAGCTCTCTTGGCCCTTTCTACTGTAATTTCATGCCTCCTCAGTTATGCTAGCASAGCTGTTTTGGGTTTTCCACTGCATATCATATCCTGAGCATGATGTAAGTGGGGGGACGAAATGACAGCAGAGAAGCTTTCCTGACTATTTGTGTTTTAACTTGAATCTGTGAAATTATCTAGATCAGAAAATAGCCCAGTGAACAATTACATAAGCACAACTGGATGTTGGCAAACTGTGTTATAATGTAGGTACCAGCTGGGTGATGGCAAGTGGTGATTTCATACTCTGGCTTTGTTCATGGAATTGCACTCAGTCACAATGAGCTCTCTTATGTAGCATTACCCACTACACTGCTGTGGTGCTTTGTCTGCACAAATCACCAGTCACGAGGCAGCTATGTCTGAATTCTTCCTTGAAAACAGAAGCAAGCTTTTTTTTTTTTCCTTTTTTTCCCCCCCCCCCCAAAAATACGTCAGTATTTTTAGGCTATTCGGAATTGTACTTATAAGACTGGTAAGTCTGAATTACTGTCCATTTCCTAGTCTTGAATGTGCCACTCACTATCAGAACTACCTACAGTTCAGTCTGAAGGCAAACTTAGGTATTGTCTTTCTCTTTCTTGAACTAAATGCTTGAACTAAAATGAATCATCTTTTAAGTTATAAATTTTACACTGACTAGTGTACAGAAATATGTGTTGTAGTAATTTAAAGCATGATGTGTCATTTGCAATGAGTCAGTACAGCATGATTCTGCTGGTACTACTGATCAACCACTGTCTATGAATGGCATTGAACTGAGCTGATATCATAGGATTCAGTGTCATCTCTTCATTACAGTGCATAGGCTTCTAGACTTTGGCTAGAGATATGTAGCTCCCTATTTATTAAGACCATTTTTACACCATTTCACTGATATCCAACAACTTTTTGATTTCAGGCAGCAAAGAGTTAAACCTTTAGGCTTTCATGACACTCTTGTTTAGGAACTCCCTCAGATTACACAGGTTAAATTCACTGAACTTTTGACCAGGTTAAATGGCATCACTGTCACTGAGAAGCAACCGCTGTCACTGACAGGCAACTTACACGTACTAAATACAAAATTAAAAATAGGATCCCTTTGCATCAGTAAAATACTGAATATGAAATGAAAATGTAGTGTTGTAAATCCGCTGACAAATGTCTGATTTAGTCATAATCACAACAGTTGACAAAAATGTGCTTGCTTGCAAAGAGAAACCAATCATTTCATATTGACATTTTCTGTCATGAGCAGCATCAGGAATAGATTGTGTGTGTGTTTGAATATAATGCTTTATAAAGAAACTAATATCACTAAATAATTGATAAGAAAAATTTCCAATTTAGCAATTTTACAGATAATTATAGATTTGTTTGCATTCAGTATCCTTATACCCTCCTCTTCCATCTAGCTTGATAAATTATGTATTTCTATTCAAAAAAATGCAGATAGTGTCTAGACAGTTTAATTTTGCTGAATTTGAAATTACGCAAACATGTAAGTTAAAAGAATTCAATTCTTATGATACATCTTTTTTATTGAAAGCAGTAGTAAAGGTTATTTAAAATGAAAGGAGGAGATATGCTAGTGGAAAAATAAGTGTATACTTAAAACATTAAAATATTAATTAGCCTGAGGACATAAACATTGCAATTAAAAGCAGGAATGAAGGTTTTATAAATTCAAACTATTTTTGTAGGTCCAGGCCTATATTCAGTCATTTAGAGCTCAAATTCTTTCATGTCTTTGATTATTTCTACATAAGAAATAATTGGGGTACAACATTGTTCATTGTAGTGAATGCAGGAAATTGCATTTCTAATGTTTGTAATCAAGACACAAAACATTTGTCATGCTTTTAGGACAAGTAACCTCAAATTTATGAGATTATAATTTTTGAAATATTCTACCATATCACAGAATCACTTCCCAGTAGTTCCTTCTGAAATAGGATAACACTTTACATACCATAATCAGTAATTTCCCTCCTATTATTGAGATTTTTTTAATGAGTGTGATGCAATTAAATTGTTAGTTTTCAGTCTTCTTGGTGTTCATTTGCTTTAAATATAATCTAAAGGAGATGTAAATTTCCATTAACTGATTCTAACAATAGCTGACAATAGGTTTGCTTTCTCAGAATGCTGTTCAATATATGGGGACATTTTTGGTAGGTGATTTTTTTTTTTTTTTTGAGTCATCCTTTCTTATGTTATCATGCCTTCCTATCCTACACTTTTATTTCTATGAAAGGCACTTGAATTGCAACAAGCTTGAGGCGGTTACATCTCAATATTATGTCCTCAACACAGAGTAGATATGAACTCTTATAATTGTCATATTCAAATATTTGATCTTCTTTTTGTATTAATGAGATCCTGTAATTTATGTCACTATAGTATGTGTTAACTTTGTAAATTCTTCGACTTTTTTTCTGTTTATTTTGTTTCATTTTGTTTTTACAAAAAAAAATACAAAACCATGTTTTTTTCCCTCTGTTTTTCCTCCTCAGAATTTATAGAAAATTCCAATACCTTTTAAATCCTCGTCAAGTTTATAGCCTTTCTGGAAATGGACCAATGCCAGGGTAAGTCTACAGTTAATATAATTACCAGGAACTCATTTAATAAAAACTACATAATCAAATGAAGAGGCTGAGGAACATATAGTATGCTTCAAATGTGTCAACACCACAGACCTATAAGTGGCTGCAGAAGTTACAGATATTAGAAATATGTAGAAATAAAACAACATATCCTCTTCATATTGTACTACTACAGATCATTTTATACTGATGACTGTGTAGGCCCTGTAAGAACTAGGAGATAAATTTCATTCCATTTTCAGCTTTCCTTGCTATATCAGCAATCTGAGTTCGCTCAGCTGTTACTTTTATGTTGCAAGTATTTGAACAGCCTCAGAGTGACTCGCAAAACATACGTTTCTTTTAAATGAACACATGTGCACATGTGTGTATGTGTGTATGTGTGTGTGAATATATATGTACACACACATCAGTACTGAACAACTTGTCCACATATCGTTTGCATGCAGTGAATATTATTTAGTTATGACTGATCTATAAAATTTTACATCAATCAGAAGAGATGCAGGACGATAATAAAATGTATATATATGTTCATTGACACAAAGTTTATACTGTTGTTTGAATGTTCATTTTTACCTTTCTATTTGGACCTTGAAATGTTTTATATAGAGAGGTTTGTCTTGAAGGTTGGTGGAGGAAAGAGAAAAGGAGAAAAGTACCTGATTTATGCCTTACAGTATTTTATTTCAATTGTTGCACTGGAAAGCATTTGCTCTAAGATTTTATGCTATTACTGTTGTTTTTAAGATTAAATATACAGAAAATGTGTTGATTTTTAAGTGAAAAAGGAAGTAGTTCTATATGTATTTATTGTTTATTATTTATTATTTATTATTTATTATTTATTATTTATTATTCATTATTTATTTTTGAAGTCGATTTTCAGAATACTTAGTGCTAACTCTGCTGACTAAATCTTGTCATAAAAGCTATCATACAACCTGCAGTATGGTGAAAAAATACTGGAAAAAAAAAGGAAATTAGGCAATTTGTGATTCTTCTCATTCTTGTAATTCTGTACAGTAACTGCATGCTAATGCTAATCTATTACTATAACAAAACACAAACAACAAATATGAAGTAATTATGCTACCTAAGAAAAATTTAAACAGTGTTAGTCCAGAAAACAAATATAATTGAAAAATTACAGAAAGTTATTTCAGAATTTCTTAGTAAATACTAACACAAACAAAATGAGCAACAAATATTGCCTTATATAAGGTATATATTTACCTAGTAGTGCTTTACTTGAGGTTGAGTTGCTATCTTTTAAAATCACTGAAATATTTTTGTTCAAATTCAGCTTGCCTCAGTGAAACTGAAAAAAAATCGAGCTAAGTATACTTCTTTTACTGACAAGTGTACATCTTTTATTGACTGCATTTCCGTTTATAACTGACTTCTGGTTTTCCTGTGTCTTGTGATGATGTAAGGACAATGTATTTTAAGGCAGAAGCACAAGAGGGCAGCATTAAGTGCAGACAGAAAACCAGCACTGAAACCATTTAAACTTCAATCATTTGAATCAGAACAG